GTGTCCGCCATCGAGACCTCCGTCGGAGCAGCANCGGCAGCAGCTCCTTGAGGAGCTTGGACGCAACTGCCAATAAGAACCCGGCCCGCCACTTCCTCTTGCACTCAGCTTCCGCAACGGCAAACACCTCGCCGCCCACCTCCACGAGGCTGGGGACGCGCAGCGAGCAGACTGGCCCCCCAGTGGATTTAACCTCCTCCCACTTGGCACCGGATACCAGTGTTGTCCCTGCAAATGGATCGATGGCCGTCGCTGCGACAGGCCCATCAGCCTGCACAGACTCACTGCCGCAGCATATTAAAAAGAGGAGGAGCAGCGCCACAGAAGAGAACAGGCGCCGCGGCATGTTGGGCCGCTGCCGCTCACTCGCTTCCTTGCGGTGGATCCGCGCAGGCCGCGACGGTTGTGTGTGTGTGTGTTGCTGTGACTGCAGAGCGTTCAAAGCGCGCAGCGGCAAGCAGAGTTTGGTCTCTCTTTTCCTTCTGCGTGTGCGTGGGAGGAGAAGTGGCAGAGAAAAAAGGAAGGCAACGCAGAGGCGTCTCGGCACACCGGCAGAAGAGGGATTTAAGAACGGCACTACCCCTCACGGCAGTGGCGGCAGCGGCGCTGGGGCCCACGGCAACGGTGAGCATCGCCCAGGCCGCAAAAAAAAAGAGAAGAGACGAAGAAGAGATGTGAGTGATCCCCGCAGGACCCCCAAAAGAAAAATATATAAAAATAAATTACTTCGGCAGGTGGTGTTCCTTCACCTCACGTGTCCAGCAGCACAAGAGGACCGTGAGAGATGCATGTGTATATTTTAATCCCTGCATGAATAAAAAAAGGAACCACTGCCCCGGTCGCACACACAACCACGCACACCTCACGTTTGCACCTCACGGTGGCCGCGGCCTTGTGCCTCACTTCGGCACTCCGTGCGGCGCACAGCAATGCGACCGGCACCGCGTGTGTGTGGGTGTGAGTGGGTGGCGGCAGCAAACAGGAGGGGAAAAGGGGTGCGCCGACCGTGGGAACGTGCATGGGGTGGCGAAGCAAGTAAAAAGAAAAGAAACCATCCCTCAGAGCACAGGAGGGAGAGGAGGATTGACCCACAGGGACGACACGCAAACTGGGCGCACAAAGCGTACGCGTCGTCCCTGTCAGGGTGTGAGCGAGTACCTTTTGCCCCTCACCACTTACCCAGCAGCGCAGGCAAGGGCAGTCGTGAGCAGCAACATCAATGGGGCACGCACAAGCAGAGTGTTGATGGCGCTGCTGTCCGCGTTGCTTTTTGCGTGGCTCCCAGCACTCGGACTGCGGGTGGTCGCCGCTGTGGTGGTGGTTGCATCGCTGCCGCCGGCGGGAGCGGCGGCGTTGGGGGTGCCAGATCGGCCTCGGGGGGTTGAAGGTGTTTGTGTACCTCCGGGTCTATCTGCTGCCCTGTCCGCCACCGACGGTGTTGACGGAGCCGCAGGCGCCTCCAATGTTCTTCCTGCTTCTTGGCCTGTTGGTGGCTGCTCCTGAGTTTGGCGTTCAGGCGTTTCTTCAGCTCCTCCTGGAGTGGGTGGCTGGAACTCACACACGCCTGGCGCGCCGAGCGGATCCTCCGCAGTGGAGTTGTCGGTTGCGTCCTTCGAGCGATTGTGCAGCACACTGCCTTCCTCCGTCGTGCATTTCATAGTGAATGCAAGCTGCTTAGTGTCCCCC